TACATTAATACTACAAATACCTTAAGGTAAGTAATGAGTGAACTATATGTGTATTTTACTTTTTTATTGCTTTTTAATGCCAAGTTCTATTGCTAACTTAGTATATGTTAGTGTAAATTTGTTATCTAGTATTTCTATTCATTTATAAGTGGAAAAAAAGGGTGTTTCACTTTACGAGGATTTCCATTTTATGGCGGTAGCCTCGAACCTAATCTGCCATATAAGTGGCGCCGTACTGTATTATTATTATTATTATATCATCAATCAAAATTTTCCCATTAACTTCCATTACATAATACAAGTGTTTCCTCGTCAAGCATTTCTGTGTTGTATTTAGTGGTTGCCTACCCAACTATGTTTTTTGCTAATCCTCGGGTACTTCCCTTTCTTTCATGAATGCATTAAACTAATATGCTACCCACCCAAAACTACATACAGTAGGCCCGCACTTATTCGGCAGGTTTGGTTCCAGGCTACTGCCGGAAACCAGACTTCGCCGGAAAACAGAACTCCATTTTTTCCATTTATAAATGCATATAAATGCCAGATAACAAGTTTACACTAACATATATTAACTCAGCAATAGAACTAGGCATTAAAATGTAAAATACACACACAGTACACTCATTATTTACCTCAAAATATTTGTAGTCTTAATGTAGGGCAAAAGGTGAGTAGTATTTACTTTAAGAAGTCAGGTGTAGTAGCCCTCCTAACCACCCAACCCACACATACTATCCTACGATGCTTAAAGCTCCCTAGAGCGAAAAAATGCATATACAGTACATGCATTACTTACCTTAAATTATTGTAAACGAAATAATGATGAAAATATTAGTACAGTTATTGTGTTGAATACAACAGTACCATATGGTACCATTGTACCATATGGTACCATTGTACTATATGGTACTATATGGTACTGTTGTATTCAACACAGTAACCATACTAATATTTTCATCAACAAGTTTTGTAAGCAATATAATGATAAATTAGTGCTGCTATTGTGTTGAATACAATGTGTACAATTATACATAATACAAAATATTGGTCTCACAGGCCATAAAAGTTACTGGAAAAAAATATTAGAAAAGAAAAGAAAAAACTAACAAAAAACATGAAATAAAATAATGCGACTTTACGGAAGTCACGGATGTTGCCGCCGCCCGGTCATTGGGGGTCAACTTCGTGCCTCTATATCTCGGTAACTACTGATCAAAAAATAAAAAGTTTGTTTTATTACCTACAGAAAATTAATATCTTTAATTCTGTAAAAAAAATTATTTTTTTTTTTTTTAAATTCTTGGACCCTGGTGCATCCTCTGAGATTTGTCCTCTGGACCCTGAAAGGGTTAAGCAACAAAAACATTATCATTTTTATTTTTGTAAGATCTGAATGTCTAAAAAAAATGTTCGGTTTTTTGGAGGGTCTCAGGAATGTAGCCTCATTTTTCTCGTAAGTTCTTTAGTTTATATAACACGACATTTTCAGGAACGTAACTACAGTGTAATATAAGGGTCTATTGTATATAAATTGTGTACAACAAAGGGCCCAACACTGACCCCTGTGGAACACCACTCGGGACGTGCCCCCACTCTGATTTCTCCCCACTGATGTAAACTCTCTGCTGCCTATCTCTCAACCACGCCTCTACCCAGGAAAAAAATTTCTCCTATTCTGTGTGCCTTAATTTTCCTCAATAGCCTCTGATGTGGAACTCTATCAAAAGCCTTATTTACTGAAGTCCATACACACAAATCATATTCATTACCACGAACTGCCTCCTCAAATACCTTGGTGAAAAAAGTTAGTAAATTTGTAAGGTATGAAGACCCCTTTGTAAAACTGTGCTGAGATTCATTAATCAATTTATGCCTTTCAAGATGGCTACAAATTGCCTCAGCAATTATCGATTCCATAAATTTTCCCACTATGGAGGTAAGGCTTATTGTTCTATAGTTTGAAGCTAAGGACCTGTCTCCTGCTTTGTAAATAGGTATTACATTTGCCATTTTCCACTTGTCTGGCACCAAGCCAGTTTGTAGTGATATGCTGAAAAGACTAGCCAAAGGTTTGCTAAGTTCCTCTTTACATTCCTTTAAAACCCTTGCAAACAGCTCATCAGGGCCTGTGGACTTGTTTGGTTTAATTTCTCTGTCTGTCTGGGGACCATGTCATTAGTTACCCTTGTCTTGCATAGTTTATCATCATCCTGTTCTACATAATTTATTATTTCTAGAATTTCGCTAGTATTTTCCTCAGTAAAAACTGAGAGGAAATAAGAGTTTAAAATTTCAAACATTTCCTCTTATTCCCTTATTTATTTCTCTAACTCAATATACTAATTTCTTAGCTGCCCATACCCTCTTTTGATACACCTATATATACCTCTCTTTTGACCAATGAGATGTTTTAATCTACTGTTTATCCATTTGGGATTTTGGTTGATCTAATTTCCCTACTTGGAACATAAATTGTCTGGGCAGCTAGAACTATGCTCTGAAAAATGTCATACTCGTAAACAACACCACCTACCTGACCCATAGTCAAATCATTCCAATTTAGCCCACCCAGGTAATTTCTCAGTCCAATGAAATCAGCCAAGCAGAAGTCTGGGATAGAGACTTGATTGCAGTTATTTGGGTACTTCCATATGTTGAAACTAAGTGATTTGTGATCGCTTTCCTCAGGCTCATCATTAACCTCAAGATTATTTATTAATGATTCCTTGTTGACAAGAACCAAGTCCAGCAGATTGTTTCCTCTAGTTGGTTCTGTCACAAACCGTTTTAAAAAGCAATCCTTCTATTAATATGTCAGGCAACTGTTCTTCTGGTGTTGTTTCTCTTCTTTGTCTCTTTTCACCACTAACACCTTGTTCTGGCTCACTGGTTCTTTGTCTCACTAAAAACCTGTCCAGTGAGGTTAGTTGTAGGCTCCATTTGAACACTTGTCTAAACTGAGATATTACACTGTATTGCGACCCCTGAATGGGTCACAATGTATATAATGTATATTACCTGTTCATATAATTTTATATTGCTTATATTTGCGATATTAGCTAAATCGTAAATATATCGCTTTATATTATTATTTGACTTAGTTATATTATTAGATAGGATGTAACATTTATATATTACTCAGTGCTCATAGTTCGAGTGTTAAGTAGCTGACAGCATTGTCTAACTAATGTATTATCGTTTCGCTCGTTACGCTGCTGGCTTCTGTGTTGCTGGGCAGCAGCAGTCCACTGAGAGTCACGTGATCAAGGTGGGGTGATCACACCTCGCCTAGAGTAGTCTGCCTGGGCTGCGCTGTCTATGGTCTGTTTTGACGTTCTTCTAACAAGACGTGCCTCTAGCTTTCCTTTGCTGGCCCTTGTTGGAAGATCGTCTCTGTCGCTTTCTTGTTGTTGGTTCTGTGTAACTCTGTTCACAGAACATAGTCTAGACTTAGTGATTTTCGACACTGTACTGAGGTTGTGTGTCTCTTAGACACTCTGAGAAACTCAGGTCCTGAGCTGTAGCTTCCGACCTAATTTGTACTGGTATCTGTGCACTGTCACAGTCGGGGATTTTATAATGCTGAACTTAGATTCAGTAGTATGGGAGTTTTGTGACTTTTGTGGAGGATCTGCAGATGGTCCCTACTTAGTGTCGTTATGTTATCTCCTTGTTCCTGATTCTGTGTCGCTGTTGCTTGTTATACTGTATTGTTGTTCGGCTTACCAGTCGCTTTATTGTTCAAACAAGCTGCTCTGATTGCCAGGTTGGTCAAGAAGTTAGTTTATGTGAGGACTTTGTCAGTCACTGGTTAAGTCTAGTCGAGTCTTGAGACATAGCGAACTACTTAGAGCACTTACACACATACACACAAACTTACTTGTATATATTTGTATTATGTTATTAAATGCTAACAATGTACCAGACGGTACTTAAAAGCCATAAAGATGTGATATGTGCCTTCAGCACAATACTACTGTACACGAGAGAAGTGTAGGAACTTGTATCCTATATTATATTCAATTGATTACTTTAATATACGCCTAGACGACTTTATTGATATTAATAAACTTATTAAATTTTAATTTCTTTAGTTAGTAGCCTACCAGTTGTAATCCTGAAGCACTATTGAATCTTACTAAATTCTAATGGATAATTGGACCAGGATATTGATTACTTGTTACAAAAACCCAGTAACAGGCTGGATGCTAGAAGGGCAGTCCTTTCTAGTATTCACTGGAGATCTCTATGCTTATTAGATATCACATTTTTTGTAACACACTGTCATTGTACATGTTAGAGATGAATGGCCACTGCTTTGTCTGGATAGTATTTTTCAGCAAACTCCTGCACTTCATGCCATTTAGCACACATTTCCTTGACAAGTGCAATTGGCACATCATCCCTTCCCTCCTCTTCCTCTGATGACAGCTCCTCCGTTCTGTAAACGCGAAAACTTGTCCGTTGACAACCAAGAGAACATATGAAAGCCAGGACATTTTTTTCTCGAACACCTCATTTGAAAACTGATTTATTCGACAGGTACATATTGCAATCGACAATTGAGGTGTGACTGTACATACATATTTTTAAGTACATAAAATATACACCAGTTTATTAGGCACACCTGTTTGTTAATAGAAATATCTAATCAGCCAATCACATGGCATCACCTGAATGCCTAAAAGCATACAGACATGGCCAAGAGGTTCAGCTGTTGTTGAGATCTAACATCAGAATAGGAAAGAAATGTGATGCAGAGGATATAAAAATACTGCGTGTGCATACTGTTATACAGGAAATAGCTGATTCCCATCTATTTAAATGGTTGCAATAAACAGCTGGAAGTGAAACTAAGAGATAGTACTCTATGCACCAGCAACACTGCAAAGGTTTAAAATATTTATGATAACTTGAAGGAAGAATACCACAAGCAAGGCTCTATTCCAGCAACTACAAATAAATAATCATACAATAACAAATTTATGCATACAAACCTTGGGTTATCTGACAGCCTTAGGTAGCAGCGTATGACATGTTTAAGAAGTCGTGCAGATTGTTCCTTGGCCAAAGCAATAACCATTTTGCCCAAGATCATTGCTACGTGTGAAAATCGCTCATAGGTCTGAGGGAGAGGAAAGTTCAAATAAAAGAAACTGTCAAATATTTTTTTTTGTATAAAAATTGTCACTTCTGATTAAAACAGAAATACAGAAGGACCTCCATATTCATGAGGGTTGGGGGATCAAGAATTTCGCGTATCTTGAAAATTTGCGAATGTTTGGTGCTCAAATATGACATAGGGAAATACAATAATACTGTACTGCATTGTTCACGACTGTTTTGATGCACAAATATTTTTATTTATTTTATTATCACACTGGCCGATTCCCACCAAGGCAGGGTGGCCCGAAAAAGAAAAACTTTCACCATCATTCACTCCATCACTGTCTTGCCAGAAGGGTGCTTTACACTACAGTTTTTAAACTGCAACATTAACACCCCTCCTTCAGAGTGCAGGCACTGTACTTCCCATCTCCAGGACTCAAGTCCGGCCTGCCGGTTTCCCTGAACCCCTTCATAAATGTTACTTTGCTCACACTCCAACAGCACGTCAAGTATTAAAAACCATTTGTCTCCATTCACTCCTATCAAACACGCTCACGCATGCCTGCTGGAAGTCCAAGCCCCTCACACACAAAACCTCCTTTACCCCCTCCCTCCAACCTTTCCTAGGCCGACCCCTACCCCGCCTTCCTTCCACTACAGACTGATACACTCTTGAAGTCACTCTGTTTCGCTCCATTCTCTCTACATGTCCGAACCACCTCAACAACCCTTCCTCAGCCTCTCAGACAACAGTTTTGGTAATCCCGCACCTCCTCCTAACTTCCAAACTACGAATTCTCTGCATTATATTCACACCACACATTGCCCTCAGACATGACATCTCCACTGCCTCCAGCCTTCTCCTCGCTGCAACATTCATCACCCACGCTTCACACCCATATAAGAGCGTTGGTAAAACTATACTCTCATACATTCCCCTCTTTGCCTCCAAGGACAAAGTTCTTTGTCTCCACAGACTCCTAAGTGCACCACTCACTCTTTTTCCCTCATCAATTCTATGATTCACCTCATCTTTCATAGACCCATCCGCTGACACGTCCACTCCCAAATATCTGAATACGTTCACCTCCTCCATACTCTCTCCCTCCAATCTGATATTCAATCTTTCATCACAAATATATTGTAGGGAAATATAATAACAGCATTTACTTAGCCTAACAATACTGCTTCCTTAACCCTTTCAGGGTCCAGAGGCCAAATCTTAGAGTGGCAGCCAGAGTTCAAGAATTTAAAAAAAAAAAATTTGTTATTTTTTCTTATAAAATGGTCAACCAAATTATTAGTTACTTCGCTAGTATTACTGCTATTTTATCGATTGAGCACCAGAAATTGCCTGTTTCAACTACCCAATAAAGTGATCGAAAATTGGTAATTTGGCCAATTTAACACAAAGTTCAAAATATTCCAATATCAAAATGGTGTCCAGAATAAACAATGCAGGCATTCCTAGCACTAAATTAACATTTCCTCTGTTCATTAGTTATGCTGTCAGGCTTTACAAATGAATTCCATTTTGATGTTTTATTCACATAATGAGCTTTTATTCACACCAAAAAACAGAAGATTTACTGTTATGCAATGTTGCAATGATTGTATAAATAATATCAGCACATTCGTGAACATATATCAGACCCACCATCTGACGCATATTAGGCTCATGACGACATTTGTTTACTCTTGAACACCGGCAAAAATCGAGTTTAGTTTCAAGCCATTTTCAGTACTAAACCCAATCAAAATCATCTCTATTTCTGTAACATATATTCCATTCTATCAAATGAGACCAAGAAATCGTGAATTCAACTGTAAAAAACATACAAAAAAACACTGCAAAGTCGCCGTTTTAATCCAAAATTAGTCGCAGTTTTTTCTATTATGCACTGCATGCTGCAGGATTTGTTTTATGTGGTGCACACTTACCACACAGATGTGTTCTCTCATATCTAGGCCCAAATTTACTGCTCACAGGTTATCTGAGTGAGCTGAGCTCATGGCGTAGATCTACGGTTTGGACCCCGAAAGGGTCAACCTACTGAACCACGAACAATCATAAAACACGAAAGCACTGTGCTTTCGTTTACATTAAATAATTTTCCAATGGCAGAATTGCAATTTCACCTTCTCCTCCAGATAAAAGATAAGATTTCTTCAGATTTTTAACTCCGGAGGGTTAGCCACCCAGGATAACCCAAGAAAGTCAGTGAATCAACGAGAACTGTCTAACTTATTTCCATTGGGGTCCTCAATCTTGTCCCCCAGGATGCGACCCGCATCAGTCGACTTACACCCAGGTACCTATTTGCTGCTAGGTGAACAGGACAACAGGTGTAAGGAAACGTGTCAAAATGTTTCCACCCGCCGGGAATCGAACCCGGGCCCTCCGTGTGTGAAGTGAAAGCTTTAGCCACCAGGCCAATGGGCCACCTACCCAAATTCATGACTTTCTTTGAGCGCTTAGGGGTTGGCTCATCAATAGCTGTTACTGCTTGTTTGGGGGTCATACTTGCACCATCACACAAACACATGTGCATGGTAGGACACGAACAGTAACTGGATACGACCAATGCAAACAGCAACTGGACAATGACTGAGTGAGTAACAGACTGGCGGGCTGCCAGTTGAGGGAGTAAGAGTGATGGTAGTAGGGACGTGGCGAGAAGCATTTTCCCATACTTTTTTCCCACATTTGTTTGGTAAATATGATTGGGCGGCTGGGCATTTGTGAATGTTCGAACCATGTGAAAGTGAAAATTGCTAAAGTGGAGGACTAGCTGTATATCTGAATGTGAACACGTTAGAGGAGACTGCTACCTATTGTTTACAATTATTTTTAACACACCAGCCATCTCCCACCAAGGCAGGGTGACCTGAAAAAGAAGAAACACTTTTACCATCATTCACACTATCATTGTCTTGCCAGAGTTGCACCAATACTACAGTTCGAATGCTACACCCAACTGCAAATATCCCCTACCCCTCTTTCAGAGTGCAGGTATTGTACTTCCCACCTCCAGGACTCAAGTCTGGGTAACCAATCTCCCTGAATCCCTTCACAAATGTTACCTTGCTCACAATCCAACAGCTCATCAAGTCCCAAAAATCACTTGCCTCCACTCACTCCTATCTAACATGCTCTCACACGCCTGCTGAATGTCTAAGCCCCTCGCACCTCTCTAACCTTTCCCAGGGGACACCCCTATCCCGCCTTCCTTCCACTACACTATACTCAATGTAGTCATCTTATTTTGCTCCATCCTCTTTAACCCTTAAACTGTCCAAACGTAGATCTACATTTTTTTACATAGTTTCTTATGGAGAAAATCAAGGTCGGAGCACTACACGCACGAATGTAGATCTACGTTTGGACAGTTTAAGGGTTAAATGTCCAAACCACCACAACAACCCCTCTTCAACCCTCAAGATAATACTTTTAGATAATGTTTTTTTTTTTTTTTTTTTTTTTTTTTGGGTCACCATACCTCAGTGGGAGATGGCCAGCATGTTAAAAAAGATATATGAGCTCAGTTTTAAACTCTCTTGGTAATACCATGTACAGTAAGCAGAAATTTAGCACTTCAGTTGTTTCAATATTCTATCATTTTCAACAGAAAAAGACAAGAAATTACAAAAGTTATTCATGTACTTCCATGGCCAAGGACACCTTCTGAACAAGTACATCTTTCTCAGGACATGATGAATAAAACATGTGCAACACTTGGGTACTTTTATTGCTAAAACACCACCTCTCACTTCTGGTATAGATTATGTGGTGCCATCCACATGTCTCTTCTCCAAGAATGATCAGTGCTAAGGGAATGAACACCTTCAATCAAGGCTGAAGGACTAATACTTCAAAATTACCTCTCAACTTCTATCAATGCTGAGGGACTGAGCACCTGATAATCACCACCTTTTCAACTGTCTCTAGTATATTAATCAACTCTGTATTCAAATAAAAAAGTCTGCTGCAGTAATAAAGATATCCAAGTGATGCATATGCATCTTAGTTATCCACTTGTCAGTATTATATACAGTGTTATTAATATATTGATTTTTCAGAACATGTACAGTAAGTATTTACAAGATTCTGCCCTTATTACCAATACCTCATATACTCAACCTGGTTTCACCAACACTACAACTCAGCAACCTGCCAACAGACCCACCTTTCCCTAATAAATCTTGATACTTGAAGATGTCTCCCGCTATTACTGGGAGTTGCATTCCTAGAAAAAGCCAGTATAAGCAGAACTGATGTAAATGGTTTATTTACAGCAATAAAAAAAAAGCTACATTCTCAGCTACACGCTAAGTCCTCCCTTTAGACGAAGATTTTGTACTAAGTTTTCAAGTGTGCACCAACAGCAATTTTACAACTTTTGCACATAGGCAACTATGAAACAAAAAATACATACTGCATTAAAAAATCTGATTTTCTAACCAAAACTTCCAAATTTCCCTAGTATGAGTTGATGTAGATCATACAGGCAGGCTGCTATACAGTGGTACCTCAATATTCGAACTTAATCTTTTCCAGGAAGGATGTTTGAATAGTGAGTTGTAAGAATATTGAATCAATTTTTCCCATAGGAAATAATGTAAATTGAATTAATCTATTCCAGATCCCCCAAAAATACCAATTATAAAATATTTTAAGTCAAAATATTTCTTATTTAAACCTGTATAATAATATTTGCATGCAAAAATCATATATGAAAACTGTAAAAACAATAAATACATGAAATAAATGAAAATTTAACTTTACCTTTACTGAGGAGTACTGATGGCCTAAGAGGAAGGTACCTTTGATATACCTTTGAGAGATGGAGAGATGTTATTGTTTGGAAAGGGTGTCACTTTCCATAAAAACATCAGGTCACTGCCTATCTGGTGCTTTTTCTCTTTTCTGTCTCTGGAGGATATTAAAATAGTTTTTCCAAAATTCCCTAAGGGTAAGCTCTGTTTCAGAGGTTACTTCAAAGCATCTTTTAAACA